TGTGGATGTCTGGTCACCTGGTGAGCAGGAGATCACACCTCTCTGCTGGAATGTGATCTACTTTGGGTGTCTGTGTGTATGTGTGATGTTAATTTGTATGTTAAACTGGCCAAGTGGTCATCTCAGGATGTCGTGCCCCCGGTCTCTGCAGGACATCCCAAGACAAAGCAGAACTTGTAATATGTTAAGTGGGTCTGTGTGTGAATGCAAAACAAGCCGACTTGTCTTTGTTAAAATGTGAATTGGCTGTCTGGTCGCGGAGAGGTGCAGGCACCAAAGACAGCTGGAGACGGTATGTGGGTTGTTAGATATGAGACAATGGTATGAGTTTTATAGATGTGTATTGTATCACTTTTGGTATAAAAGGCCTGCCCCTTTACCAGTCAGATAGAGAACTCTACGCGACTGCTAAGTTGGGTCCGACTTCTCTCCATGCTGCATGAAATAAAGAATTCTTCGAAGCTACTCTCCGGTCTCCAGGCATCTTTATTGGGTCCTGCACGTTTCCCGCTACCACACCCTTCAAACCTGAAACACACACAAAGAGCACAAAGTACACAGAGACAGATACCTGATGAATGTGCATGTGCTTGGCAGATATGACTGTTAGTCTGGAGTTTTACTGGTTACCTGACCTGACTGCAGTTCTTACCGGGAGGTCCTGGGACACCAGTTTCTCCAGTCTGGCCCTTCTGTCCTGGTGGGCCCAGTGGGCCGTCTCTGCCCTGCCACCAACAACAACTGTTTTAAATACTTACAATAAGACTGGTGATTTAATCCAACAGCTCTAAATTGTACTTTCTGTTCACAGTTTACTAGATACTTCAAGTCAAGATAAACTGGACACTAAGTGCATAAGTTGGATTTGAGTATATGTTATAACTATGGGGTGTACTGACTGGCTGGCCTTGCTGGCCAGGGACCCCAGGGCAGCCAGGTGTTCCTGGGTCACCTGTTGCTCCTTTGTGTCCCTTATCTCCTTTATAACCAGGACCCACAGGACCAGGAGGGCCCCGATGCCCAGGGAGACCTACACAGAAAGACAGTTTCCCTTGAGTGGCTCTTTCACCATGGTTACATTTTAAAAATGCTGATTGTAGCTGTGTTGTTGAATTTTGCTTTGTTCAAAGCCACTGTTGATGGTAAGAAATCTAGTTTACCTGTCTCTGTATGTAGATGACACTGATGCATGGTTGTGATTTACTGTAGCTTGGCACAGACCAAAATTAAAAGGCAACAACTGGAGTTTTTCCTTGGTCTGGATCAAATTAACTGCAGGTAAGAAAAAGACCCTAGAGTCTGCAGCCAAATGCTCTGTGAGGCTGCACTTAGGCTCAGCAGTGCTTAGACTACACCCCAGCTGAGGCTGATGGAAATGTCATTAGCTTTGCAGACATATGGCTATGAGCTAGGTTTTGAGATTCTCCCTGCAGTAAACTGGGACCCACGATAAATGACTGTGGCTTGGAGTCATGTTTCAGGTCTTTCAATGTACGAGTATGACATCCTCACCCAAGTGACCAGGCAGGGGCTGATCAAACCTCACAGATCTCTTGCTGGTCCAGAGCCATGTGTGGTCCTGTAATGTGGTCCTGATACTTCTCCTGATTGCCATGCCCATGATGCCAAGCAGCATGAACATTCTGCAGAGCATGTGGCCAGTGAAGCCTCTGCATTCCTCCTTGCTGTTCTGACATTGCCCTACCCGCACCTCATGCAGTACCTGGCCCTCAACCTCCTGTGTACCCCCTCAGGACCTGATCTTCTCAGGTTTCTGATATACGTCTACCTTCAGGCTTCTGTCCCCTCCCAAGTGGACTGCACAATCCAAAAAGGCCAGACAGTCATCTCTGGCACCCTCATGAGTGAATTTGATGTTGTCATCCACAGAGTTGATATGTTTTGTGAAAGCCTCTACCTCCTGGGTCCTGATTTTAACCCATGTGTCATCCAAGTAGCGGAACCAGTGGCTGGGAGCGGTGCCAGTGAAGGAAGCCAGGGCTTTCTCCTCAATTTCTTCCATGTACAGGTTAGCAACTATAGGAGACACAGGGGAGCCCATAGCACAGCCGTGTTGCCCCCTAAACTGGAAGTAGGTAGTGTTTAAACAGAGTTCCAGCAGAGTGCATACATGGTCTGGGGTGAGGCTAGTCCTGTTGTTTAACGTGTCATCCTTCAGCAGTCTCCTCTTCACCGCCCTGACAGCCTCTGTGGTGGGGATGCAAGTGAACAAGGATGTGACATCATATGAGACCATGGTCTCGTCCTGCTCCAGCTGCAGTTGTTGGACTTTCCT